TTAGGAAGTAATAAGAGGAACTGTGTTTAGCGATTTACATTATTTATTACATGCAAGTGAACTCTCAATTAAGTTATCATTATTACTAAGATTTATCGTGTTGTTAAAATTCTAGATAGTAAATAAATAATTGAAAACATTTTTATTATTCATAAGTATTTATTATGCAGTTTTTGTTGAATCAATTTTCTTTAAAAATTGTTATATATTATATTTATGAAATGTGATTACGATCTTATCAATAACATTATATTCAAAATAAGGACATTATTCTTTTTTTTTTCCAAACGACATCAAAATTTATAACTCAGATAAAACCAGAAAAACCTGAATGTACACAAGGAGTTCACACCAGATGAAAACAAGAGGAGGCCCATACCCACAGTACTGCCTACACGAGACCCAAACTAATACAAACTACACACAACCGATCAAAATGAACAGAAAATACAGAATGAGACCAACAACACTGCTAGCAAAGCAACAAGCAAAGAAAAATAGACCACTGACACTAGACCTAGTCCATTCTTCTCAGCATCTGCTAGCTCTGCACATCTCTACTCTTAAACTCAGTCCACTCCTACATAGCTGTTTTGATGATCTAGGTTTCAGGTTGTCATTTGTTCTCAAAGATCCAGAGATTCCTAGCTCTCCACAGCCACCAGAGGATATAAGTGGATAATTGAATCCTATCTTCACAGCACTCCACTTTCTTCATTGAACTAATCCACCACCACCACTCCTTAAAGGTAATCTGTTCTTGATAAATTCTATTCCAACTCACCGGGAAGAGTTTCCAAGTGGTCTGAGCTCTACTGCAATAGAATAAGACATGCTCTAATGACTCATCACTCTTACCACAAACTCTACACTTCAGGTCTACCTCCATTCCCCTTCTGTTTAAATTCACATTGGTAGGCAAGATGTTAGAAAAATACCTTCATATGAAGTGCTTGACTTTTCCCATTACCTGCAGCTTCCAGCATCTCAATCTTGCTCTGCAATTTCCTTCAGCTATAGCACTACACTCAGCCCTTCCTCCAAAGCACACCTTTTACTTTAACAAAGTAGAGTAAGCAGATTGAATAGAGAACCTCCCTTTATGCAGAAAAGACATGACCATTTGTCAGCAGCTCTTGGATTCAGAGATCTGATTTTGAGAATATTTGTCGTTGTGGCCTCCTCAAACAGAGCTCTCACAAGCCCTTCATCCCAAGCACAACCTCCTGCCATCAACAAATCTTTCACTGCAAATTGGTTGCCATCAATATGGAGTCTCAACAATGGCTTGCTCCCAGATTCCCCAGGCACCCAGTTAAAATCATTCAACTTCACACTCATCCCATTCTTAATGATTACATTCAAATGATTCAGTAAAGTAGGAATAAAAGAAGCCCAAGATTTCCAGAGCCATGAGGCTCCATTAGTCTTCTGATATTCAGACATTGAAGTCACAAGAAAGTACTTGCCTTTCAATACTTTGCTCATTAAGATATCTGGATGCTCTAGGACTCTCCATAGTTGTTTTAGGATCAGGGCCTTGTTGAAGAGTCTTATATCCTGGAATCCCAGACCACCATCTTTCTTGGAGCAGGTCATTTTATCCCATGACATCCAGTGCATCCCTTTAGCAAACCCTTCCCCTTTACTCCACCAGAATCTAGAAACAAATTTACACACCTCCAGACAAATACCCTTAGGTAACACAAAGCATGACATTACAAAAATAGGAAGGGCATTCAGAATAGATTTGACAAGCACCTCCCTCCTAGCAGTAGATAGCAAATTATTTTTCCAGCTCTCAATCCTCACTTTAACAGCATCTACCACAAATTGGAAAGCATCAGCTTTAGATGCCCCGATTCCCAAGGGCAACCCCAAGTATCTCGACGATCTTTTTACCACAATCCCACTAAGCACAAAACAGATAATTTGCTTTGGACATCACTGCAATTTCTACTCATAAATAGAGAGGATTTATTGAGATTTACCTTTTGCCCCGAGAATTGCTGATACTTCTGCAGAATATCTAATAACTCTGCATCGACTCTACAAAAGATTAGTGCATCATCTGTAAACAGGAGGTGAGACAACATAGGCCCCTCTTTTGGCACTTTAATACCATGAAAGAACCCAGAGTCAACCTTGAATTTCAAATAAGAACAGAATACCTCTGACACCAATATGAACAGGTAAGGTGATATAAGATCACCCTACCTTAACCCACTAGAAGGATTGACAAACCCACAAACTGCTCCATTCAAATTAAAGGAAAAGGCAGAGGAGGATATGCAGCTGTAAATCCAATTTATGAAAACAGGATGGAAACCCATTCTAGCCATAGTGAGCTTAACACAATCCCACTCCACTCGGTCATATGTCTTCTCTATATCAAGCTTTACTGCCATAAAATGATTAGGACCAGATCTATGTCTATGCAGAAAGTGAAATACTTCATGGGCTATCACAACATTATCTAATAACTGCCTCCCTGGGACAAAGGCAGTTTGAGCATGACTCACACAAACATGCAAACATACTTTAAGTCTTTCAAGCAGAATTTTAGCCACAATTTTATAGAGAACCCCACATAGGCTTATTGGCCTATAATTGCTCAGAAATTCAAGATAGAGACATTTAGGTATCAAATTAATTACTGTATGATTTTAATTCTTGAGCATGGTACATGTAGAGAAGAAGCTCTTGATAGCACCGCACACATCACCCTTTATAAGGTGCCAAAAATGTTGAAAGAAGGCAACAGACATTCCATCCTCCCCAGGGGATTTGTCAGGATGCATAAGGAAAAGGGCAGCTTGGATTTCTTCCTCCTCAACTTGGCTGATTAGAGCAATGTTCATGTCTGGGGATATAATAGGAGCAATGTGCTGAAGAACATCCTCCCCTCCAACAGTCCCTTCATATGTAAATAAATAAGAATAGAAATCAGAAATATGTCTTTGGATGTCTTCCTGGTTGTCACACACCCTACCAGATGAGGTAGAGATTTTATGAATAGAATTCCTCTTCCTCCTGTGTGCTGTGTGGGCATGGAAGAACCCGGTGTTCCTATCCTCTTGCTTTAGCTATAATATTCTGGACTTTAATCTCCAAAACAGTTCTTCCTCTTTATGAGTATTATCAAGATCTGCTTTAGTTTGGCCCCATTCTCCCCAGTCAACAGCTTCTCCTTGCATCCTCATGATTTCCAACTTATCAGTGAGCACCTGGATAACTTTAGCATTGTTTCTCTTCAGAGGTTTAGCCCAAGCCAGCAATGACATTCTAGTGCTCTTTACTTTCTCATGCACCAGAAACATCTGAGACCCTTGCACATAAATATCCTAACCAGAAGCCACAACCTCATCCACTCTTTCCATTTTCAGCCACCTGGGGTCAAAAGTGAATCTCTTCCTCTTCTTCTGGAACTCGACATCAGTATCAAACAACACCACATTATGGTCAGAGGCACTTCTGAAGAAATTGGAAGCCTCCATCTTAAGAAATCTCAAGCTCCAATCTGTAGACACAAAGATCTTGTCTAGTCTCTCCTCCACATAACCTTCTTGATTCCTATTGTTCCCCCAGGTATAAAAAGAACCCATTTGTTCTATTTCATGCATGTCCATATTAAGAATGAAGCTTCTGATTCCCACAAAGCTAGAATCTGGTCTCTTCAGCCCTCCTCTTTTCTCCTCATTACATGTGATATCATTCCAGTCTCCAAAGATAGCCCAACAGTTGCCCCACTGGCTTTTCTGCTCCTCAAGGAATTCCCATTGTTGCCTCTAATATTTCTATCACAGTTAATGTACACAAAGATCTGCCAAAACCATGCTCCCCCTTTCTCCTTCTTGACTTCCATTTTAATACTAAATTCATTTCTCCACAAAGACCTGATTTCCACTGATTGATCCCACATCACAAGCATTCCCCCTCTAGTACCAATAGGTTTCTCAAAATGCCATCTATTCTCAAAACCAAGTTTCCTGCAAACAGTTCTTGTAAATTCATATGCTTTTTTTATTTCAGATAAGAAAAAAATATTTGGGTGGTGGAGTCTTTTGACATCCTTGATTTGGGAAAATGTAGAGGGCCTACCCAGCCCTCTACAATTCCACACCATAACCTTCATTTATCACCTTGGGGCCATTTTAGGCTAGTCTTCTCCACCTTCATAATATCTGTCATCACTTTCATTCTCTTTTCCTCTATCTCAGGAAAACTCTGGTCTCCTTCATCCCCTGAATACACTATTAATTCTCTATTTCTTTTAGAGAAGAGAGAAAAACTCTCCTCCAGGGCTGGCTCCTCCATTCTGTGAAGACTTCTGTCCACTGTTGCCCTTCCCTTCCATGTTGCAGTATGGAGTTTCCTTAGAGGTTCCCCAATAGCCTGTTGCCCACCATCCTTCTGCAACTCCACCATGTCATCTATGTTCTTGTCCCCAATTATTGTGTTTTCCACTTCCATCATGGCTGACTTAGGGATATTTGGTTCCTCAGAACTGCCAATTATGTTGAAGTTCTGCTGCTCCTTATGCACATTCTCCTCAACCAAAGCCTCTCTAGCATCAAAATCTACCTTTCTTTTGCCATTATCTCGACTTGACCCCATGATGGATACTTGATGGACTGAGGCTGGGGTGCCACTATTTGAGACTACTGGTTCCAGATTTGAATTTTTTGGATGGGTGGGGATTGATGTGCTCCTGAGCTACTAGGACAGCTATTCCTCCCACCAGGAAAGGTCACTGAGGTTTTTAGCCACTCCCCGAACTGACCATCAGTAACTTGATTCTTATCGATGTCTTCCATCTTCTTTTTACAGTTTCTCTCAAGATGTCCCATGCCACCCTGACACGTTGGTCACCCTATTTAATTGTTGTAAATCTAGGTGTAGGCTCCTTAGTATTAATCACAGCCAGTATTTTAATGAAACTTCCCAAATCTCCTCCCAGCTTGCAGATATTGACATTCTTCACACCTTTAAAAATTCTCCCTATCTTGACACCAACATCTGTGCTCATCCAGTTCAAAGGGACATTTAGCACTTGAACCCAAAGTTTAACTTCATCAAATGCACTATGACTACTAACCAGACCAGGGAACCATTCCTTAAGAACCAAATACTGATTCTCGTAAATCAAGTCATGTACAACTGCAACTTTATCTTTATCTTCATTTGAACTGAAAATAAACTGGAAAAAATTCATACTGAGTTCTTTTACCTCCATCGGCTGCTTTAGCTTCCAAATGTATGACATAGCTCTCTTTATTCCCAAAAGACTGGCCGGTCTATCTCCCACAATTTTCCCGAACAGACTCCTCCCACATTCCTCCTCACTAACTTTGACATCGGTCTTTTTGATTTCAATTTCGCCTGCCTCTTTTTCAGATAGTGAGAAATCAAACATTTTCCGCACAACTTCTGCATCTAGGTCACCTCTTTGTACATACCCGATGAATCACCCTCCATCTCACAACCACAATCAAAGCGGAAAAGAAGATAGAGAAATATTACAAACTTTAACACCAATAACTCACACTCCAATTGATTAACTACTAGAATCCCCAGGAATCACAGGAACGATACAAAGGAAGTTGCGGCTCTCAAGAGAGAGAATTTCGGCTCTCAAGAGACAGAATTAATAAGGACATTATTCAAAACATCAATTCTAACTTCAAAGCTTTGTAGTTTGGGATGATTGGGGCCGATATTTGGGAGATATGAAAGAAAGCAGTTTGGTAGATATGTAGAAGAAAGCAAATTCGTGACGATTAATGGTGTGAGAATATTGAGGTTAGTTTTTAGGAGATATGGAATGTTTTGTTCGTGTATATTTATTTAATACTTACGTATCAATTATCAATTTAAAATATAAGATATGATAGGTATTAGTGTATTACTAACTAGTCATTAAAAATATATCAAAATAAGGGTTAAGAGCTACTTTATTTTTCAATTAAAAATATAAGATATGATGAGTATTAATGCATTACTATTTTGCCATTAGAAATATGTCCAATAAGGAATTTTTAAATAATTCATATAAACTATTCGTACTTTTATAATAGTACAGATATAGATAAAGAGAGTGAGTTATCCATATTGTTATACACCGACTTTTACTGGTGTTCATTTTAAAAAGTAAACTACATTTGTTTTTATACATTTCATTTATATTTTGTTATCGCCATTTTATATCATATTATGTTGATTTCGACATAATATTATAAATTTGGAAGCGCGAATATGTATAAGTTAATTTCCCCTCAAACCGTTTCTTAGTGTATTCAATATAAACTTTTATAAACTTTTAATACGTGTATTCAATTAAAACTTGTAGAGACTTCTAAAAAGTCTACATGTATTCATTCGATTTAAATAAAGAATTTTTATAAGTCTCGAAAAGTCTCAAGGTATTCTATTAAAACTTTCTAGTAGTCTCTATAAGTCACCCGGTATTCAAAGTAAGACGATTTTGTGAGATTTTTTAGTTTTTAAGACTTTTAGAGACATTTGTAACAAAATTACAAAGACAAAGTTCTAGCAGAAATCTATTTAAATTGGTGAGATTTTGTTGGACTTATACCTCTTCATACTCGCTTTCTTTCTCACGACATTATATCTCATATCAAATTTCATACTCTATTGCTTTACCCATTTATGTTGATACCTTGTATATTTTTTTTCATTATATATTTTATATATATATATATTTTTTATTATAGTTATTTTATGTGTGTATACGCATTTTTCTCTCATTTTGTTTTCTTGTGAATTTCACTTTTAAAAGTTTGTTCATATCAAAAACCGTATCGTCCAAAGAAACGACGCCACGTGGAATATAGAAGATAGTTAATAGAAGGAGCGGTTAAAGCACGAAGACCGACTTAGTGAGTAGCTGAACCGACTTCAATAAGGGGTCCGACGTCAATAGCAGCGAGGAACCCCTAGGAGCCGACGTCGTCGACGACGGACAACATTAAATGCCTGTCAATAAGATGTGTCGACCCACATGAAAGCTATCATTGCCGAGGGACCCACATGCCATGAAAGCTGCACCTAGGCCGTCATAGCGCATTAAATGCCGCCGAATCTCCTCAAAAGACGAGCCAAAAGTTACTATAAATAGCAGAATTAAATTAGATACGAGGATCTCCGCCCGACAGATTAAATATCGCATTTATCATCTCTGTTTGTACCAACAAATACCGACTTCCTGTATTAAATATCGACTTGTCGTATCTTCTAATTATATTATAATCCATCAAGAAAATTGTGCTTCAAGACTCTATACTCACTTTAATCTATACTTAATTAGTTGATAAAATCCTTTGATCAACAGTTTGGCGCTAGAGGAAGGGCCTCATAAGATATTTGAGGTCAATCTCTGAATCCAGCTCTTGGAGAAAAGAACGAGTAACGTTCAAGTCGTTATCGACACTTGTTATCAAATGGCTCAGTCAGGCCAAGATGATCAAACATCCAGGAGTGGGGGCAGCCGCAGTCCGATCTCCTCTACTGGTAGAACCAACGCTACGGCCATATCGGACCTCGCAACACACATCCAAAACCTAGAGTTTGCAAAAGGATTTTCCGCCTTACTCTCGCAGACCATGCCAGGAACCTCCAGGATCATGCAAGGACAGACCTTCGCACCCATAACGCCAGCTAAGCCCAGGGCGCCGACGGCTCAAATAGGCGCGAACGATCAAACTTTGTCTCACGCACACCCCAACCGCGAGATGGCAACCAACAGCAATCGCCTATTAGAACGGCGGACACTCTGGAGGATAACATGAAGGAAATAACGGCAGAAAGCCAATCCGGACAGGCCAAGAGTGCGGCTGTTGTCGCTAGACCCCTGTTCCCACCAGCTGCGAATTCAGCCGACCTCCAACATCAGATCGAGAGAGGCCGGTTGGCGAGGCGTGACAATCCGGAGATGGAAGCCTTGAGTAGAAGAGTTGCCGAACTCAAAACTCGACAAGCGATGAGGGCGAGATCGCCGCCCAACCCACGTGTTAGGAACCGAGCCACGTGTACGTAGAGGTAGACTCACCGTTGGCGCCCGAGTTGATCTTGGAACCCTACACTGGAAAGTCAAAGTCCCATAAATTGGCTTATGCGACGGAACTTCAGATCCTGACGCCCATCTTGGCCATTACACGTCTTGGATGGACTTGCATAGAGCCACCGACGCCTTGAGATGTCATATGTTCTCCTTAACTTTGGGGCCGAAAGCCCAAAAATGGTATTACTCCATGCCGGCCTATTCCATCCATAGTTGGGGCCAGCTCAGGTCGGCTTTTTGCTCTCACTTCATCGGGGCCCAAGTTTGTTTGATTCCCAAAGAGCCGATAACTAATATTGTTAAAAAAGACGATGAAATCTTGAATGAATACATCGCTCGCTTCAATGAGCGCGTACAGAACATGGAGCCATGCCATCCCAAGACACTCCTCGTATCTGCAATCTCTGGGCTGAAGCCTAAATCGATGTTTAGGTGGTTGCTTTGCCAAAGCAAACCCCCCACGCTCTAGGAATTTCTGATTCGAGCTCATAACCATGTAATCGCAGAGGAATGCATGTCGGTACCAGACCTCACATTCACCTCCCAAGGACAGTAACCGACGTCCGAAGAGAAAAAGAAGAAAAAAATACTTCGGCAACTCGTCTAAGAAAACCTCCTCCACAGATCCACGGTGGGGTGATCCGAACGACCCCGAGGTGCGAGCCACACGAAAACAATATAGAGAAGATTTGACCGCATGATACCCCTCCATTTATTCGGTGGGAGCTACCGCAATCTACGAGGAGATAAAGGGCAAGGGAATCATCCCCGATGCCTGACATGTGAAAACTCCAGAGAGCCAATTGGACAAAGCGAGATATTGCGATTACCACTGATTTCCAGGCCACAACACTGATGAGTGTCTAAGCTTGTTGTCGGCCTTGATGAAGCTCATCGGCAATCCACAGGTCAGAAAATTCAACAAAGCCGATGGTGCCAGAGGAAGGCGGAGGCCGCACGAAATCCCCGATGATGATGAGGAAGCTGAAGGAGGATCGAACATCAAGAGACTCCGGTTGTAAGGGGACAAAGAAATCTTCACGTTCGGCCATTCAGACGCCAACTTGACCCAAGAATCACTTGGGAAAAGAAGTAGGGAAACTGGACTCCTGAACCGACTTAGCCAGACGCTGCCGATGTCAGGACGATCGAGCCCAATTTCTCGAGTCAACACCAACAGGGACGAGCCGACCTTCTCAAGAAGAAAAGCCAAGGCCTATGCGCGGAGGGCTTACAACTCGGGAAAACAAGTGATGACTTCCGACCACAGGGAAACGATCAATGCACAGACATGCCCATCACGTTTTCTTTAGAGGATGCAAGCCTGTTCGACCATTCGCATTCGGATGCACTCATAATTACGGCCCCCATATGTGGTATCCTATTCCATCGAATCATGGTGGATACGGGGGCATACTCAAGCATACTCATGCTCTGAGCATTCAACAAGCTCGGGATAGATCCAACCGAAGTCTGTTCATGTAACGATCGAGTTCATGGCTTCAACGGGAGCGTGACACTTCCGTTGGGAGAGATT